TTTTGGGGTGTTTACCCAAAACATTGACATGTTACACAAACCAAACAATCTTTGGGTCTTTTGTATGAGCATTTTCACTGTAAACAAATACATTAATCAATTTATACCAAAACAAATCTACAACTGGTAAATGTGTCTGACTTATCCACTTGACCGTCACAACACCTCCGCCCTGCTCGTTTCATACAGCCAATCAGGTCTCTTCCCGTGAGATCGAGAACAAAGAGTGCTGTCTCCTCTGGCTGTCAGTTGCTATGGCGACTATCGATGCGGCATAGAGGGAGCGTTGCCAGGGGTAACAGGAGTTGGGGCTTAATTAAACAGATCAATACGTGATCACACTGGACTCTGTGTGCACGTGCATGTCGTCGGACACTTAATGTGTTTTTCATGTTTCTGTGTCACACTGATGCCCGCTCAGTTACATACAGCAGACTATTAGTGAGCATCTGAATGTGTGTTGTAGCGTTGCGTTTACAAGCTCAGCAGGATTCCCAGGTGGCTCCTGGTGAGGCTGAACGCTGACAGGAGTGTTTGGGCACGCTTCCTCTGAACACGCAGCATGTCAGCCCTCATAAACCTCCCCGCCTCTTTCCTCTGAATCTGTCTCGTTTTATTCCACATTAACGTCTCGTGATCTAACACGATCCTCTTACACTCTTTTGTTTTCATATATCTCAACACCTCTCCCTTTGTTCCTTTTCTTCTTTTTCCATCCTGGAGATGTCAGCCTGATGAGCTCTCAGCCCAAAACCCACCAATTGTGAAATTGCTTTGAGGTAGGATGCTCTTCTGGGGGAAAGGTGTGGAGCGCAGACACGCAGAACCCTTTCTCTTTCCTCCAGTTGTTTTCATCCCATGCTAGCGGCATTATGGCTGTGGGGATCTGCGGATCAGTGCACTCTCCCTCTGGAGGGAACTTTGGGATTTTAGCCTTTGCAGACCATTTACATGCATAAAATCCTACATAACACACTACAGGAAAGGGAAAACCCAAAAAGCATAATCGGGCTCCTTTAAGGTTGTGCTAATTGTACCTCCTGTATATGCTGATGAGTAGTTTAATGCATTATATTCTATGAGATCATCATATGATTGAGGCTGTGTCACTGCCCTTACAGAACCAACTTTCTTTAAATATTTTGTTTTTTGTACAGCCCTGTTTCCAGCTTTGTGACAATGAACTTGTCTAGCAGAGGCTTTTGAAGAGTTTATTTAGCTTAAGAAGTGGGAGAATGTTCTCAACATATAAGGAAATAAGTCATCCTTTAGTTTAAAAGATATTTGAAAATCCAAACAACTTGAGTTCATAATTTGTATATACTCAGTACAATATGTTTGTATCTGTACCCATTACTTTTCCTGTGTCACCTCACTGTTTTACATTTTAAAGACAGGCAGTATACATGTTAACAAGTTGGATTTCAGCTGAGGAAAATGGCGTTGTCAAATGGTGGGCAATTTAAAACAAAACAAAATGGTTATGAAATTGTCTTTCTTATGAAGAGCTTGTTCCAACTGCTGTTTTGTTGTCTGTTTAGGCCAGCTTGAACCACAGCGCTTATGTTGCAGATAAAAAAATGCAAACTTGGCATCTCTGTGTTTTTGTTTCCCTCTGTTGAATCCAAGCTTTATACAGCTATTTCAGCATTGAGTCAGTTAGGTGAACATTTGACCTTCTGATGCCTGTCTGGCAGAGGTGGGACAAGTACTCAGGTCTTGTACTTAAAGTAGAAGTACCAGAGTATAGGAATACTCTTTTACAAGTAAAAGTTCTGAATTGCAAATGTTACTCGAGTAAAGGTTTGAAAGTATAAGCATCTAAATATACTTAAAGTGGACCTATCATGCTATATTATAATAATATAGTGTAGGACCATACCTATATAAGGCATATTTATACCTTTTTTTTTTCTTTCAAAATACCAAACAGATCATGCATTTTAGCCATGCCTCATTTTGCTCAATTTGCACTTTTTTAGCTCTGTTTTTGCAAGGGCTGATTCTGTGAGAACAGCACCACCTACAGGCCTGGCATATGTACTACAGTGTCTCCAGCGCTTTCGAACGGCAATGGCCGTGGCTGTCTCCTCCTGATTGGTGGAGTTGGCCCAATAGCCGTAGCACCACCGTCCTGACGTCAGGACAGTGTTCAAATCTGGATCAGTTTTTATCAGATCCGTTGCAGCCCCTTTTTTAGAGATTTGGGTATGGAGGAAAATAGAGAGGGTTGTGTTTTCTGACACTTGGTGAGTTCCCTGGAACACCGGGGACACATATTCATGTATAAAAGACGTACAAAAGTGCATTTTGCATGATAGGTCCCCTTTAAAGTAACAAAAGTAAAAGTATTGTTATGCAGATTGGTCCATTTCAGAATAATATATATTGTATATATTAAAATATATAGTATTGTTATTGATGCATTGAAGTGTTATCAAAGCTGGTGAAGGTGCGGCTAGTTTTAATGTCTTTGTATATTGCGGATTAGCTTGTGAACTTAATCCACGTATAACTAAAGTCTGATTTAAGCAAACATTTGAGATACTCAAGTAAAGTACAAGTCCCTCAAAAGTGTTCTTTAGTACAGCACGTGAGTAAATGTACTTAATTACTTTACACCACTGCTGTGTGGACCGTTTATTTCATCAGTACAAAAGCTACTTATGCAGATTTTTGAGACAGAAATGTCTAGTGTATATCCTCGCCCATTTGTCTCTGCAGGAATGCCAGCTCTTGTCTGGTCTAGTCTCGAGAAGTAAACGCTCGTCTCCTCTGATAATCCATTAATGTATTCTTCCTGGGAACAGGCCTGTCAGTGTTTGAGCAGCTGCTTATGAGCGGCATGTTGGGGCCGGCTTGTTCGAGGCGTGCCAAAACCATTATAAGTTTGTCATGTTATCATTTCTTCCACACTCCTCCTCCTTTTTAAAACTATAACTTGAGCACTCGACTAACGTAGTCTTTGTTTGTCCGGGTATACAAAGAGGCAGAAATGTTACATGCTTTACGACATCAGGGTGTCCGCGGGGTCTTAAAAAGTATTCAAAGTTGATAAATCAATTTAGCGAAAATTAAGGCTATTAAAAAGTATTAAACGGCATTTTCCAAGGTATTACATTTTGTAGCTTGTTTTCAATCAGTATATAAATTGTCCAAAGAGGTTGTGTTCTACAGTTTGCCTGAATGTAATCATTGCGTAGGTGTGTAGTGTGATTCTGTGTAGTTTATTTATTTTAATGTTTTTTTGTGCTTTATGACTCTTTTGTTCCCCTTTAAATGTGGCCCTCTCATAAAATAATTGGTTCCAGCATGCCCCCCCCCCCCCCCCAATTGGTCTAAAACCACCACTGATGTATTTTCAAGGAAGTTTTTACCTCCACAGAGAAAGCTAGATTAGTCTTCCACTTTTTTATTGGCAAATTGTTGGCAGGATATTTAAGTTTGGTGTTGTTGTGCGGGAACATGCCTTTCTATGTTATAATATATATGAACGTAAATGTATTTAGGGTTTGATCTGAACAAAAACAAGACATTTAAAGACATCACCTTAAAAACTAGGATTGTCTTTTTTCCATATTCTCTAACATTTTGTATTACAAACAATGAATTCTTAAATCCAGAAAATAACCAACAAATGAATCCAGAACAGACATATTTGTTGGTTTCAGCCCTAATGTTTGTGGAACGGTTGACCACAGGCCGAGGAACAAGTGGTTAGTTTAGGGGATTTCTTAATATTGCAACATTTCTAAACATTTCCTCTATTGTCTCATGACTCATAGCACTTTCTAGAATAAATACTGTAACAGATTTCTCTTGAGTTAAATTAAAATAACACAAATTACCTGCTGGTTGCAGCTTTTTAATGTCTTGTCTCATAACCTAACCTTCGTCTGGGCTCTTACAATAGCTTCATCACTGCTGTATTTACCCTTCTCTGTCTCCTTTCTCAGTATTGAACCGTGTGAAATCCATTGGCTGAGCTCATCCCATCTCTTTCTCCTCCTCTCAATGTTGTTACCAAGTGATTACTCCATTGATCAAATCTTGTCTCTTCTCTCAGCCTGTGGAGAGCTTTCAGGCTCTGTGTTGTGCTCTTACTGGATAGACTGGTGTTCTTTATCCTTGTTTTTGTTTGTTTGCTGCATTTCTAAAGTTACATCTCTGTTATGTAATGTGTGGCCAAACACAGTGGCTTAGGTTGGAATATTTTACTCTCATTGTCAGCATCATATGGTCCCAAAAAGTATACGTAAAAAAGGGATAAGGTTTGGAAAAGGTTTCAAACTTAATATGAGTTTGGAGGTTAATTGGGGACAGAAACAAAACATAATAAATAATATCATCTTATTTTGTTCTAATGGCTAATGTGACAGCAAAAGGTATATAACTCAAACGTTTGTAATTACCATGACATTTGCTAAAGATATTAATGAAACCCAGAAAATGATTCTAACAGAGTTTTCCTCTTTTGTCGACATTTGTGTTTTTTATGTGTCTCGACAGTCATTTAATGTATTGCCATGAATTTGGTACAGACATTGTCTATTAGCACGTTGACCCCTTTCTCATAAGTGACTACAACCCATGCTGCATCTGTTTTATGGAGTCTTTTATTCTCTGGCAGAGAAAAGTCATATCAATTATCTTAATCCATTCTGAGTCTCAAGGTCTCCATTCCCTCTGGCCGGTTTGCATTAGTCCATTTTGCAAATGTGTATGTCAAGTTTCACAGGACAATAGGTCGTCTACTGACACTAAACTAATAATTCAGTCTGAAATGTTGCTGTTATAAATGCAAGTGTTATCTTGGATTTATACCTTGAAACAACATTGTTAACAGTTTGTTGATTTGATGTCAATTAGGGCTGCAAGTAACTATTATTTTCCTCATAGACAAATCGGCGGATTCTTTTCTAGATTCATAAATTAATGTTTATAAAACTTCAGAAGTTTCCACATAATTAAGCGCCCCTCTCTTGGCCTCTCTCTCTCAGGTTTGCCATCATCGCCTCAGGCTGTGCCAGCTGTCCCCGGCTGGTGTGTCGCAGAGAGGGATGCGGAGCCGAGTTCTGCTACCACTGCAAGCAGGCCTGGCACCCCAACCAGACCTGCGACTCTGCCCGCCAGCAGAGGGCGCAGTCCCTGCACACACACAGCAACCACTCGCCCAGCTACACACAGGAGCAGGGCCCCGGTAAGTACCTGAAAAACACACATACACACCTCTCAGGGTCAAAGTAACCACACTCTCTCATTGTGCAGATTGTGTGTGCATGCGTCAGATAAACTCTTCTCCCCCAGCATATCCGTCCTGAAGATATTCTTCACACCTCTGAGAGCACTCTGCCTCTCTATCTGTCACTGTTTATCACATGTCAGTCTGTCAGAGGGCTGAGTCAAACTTGTCTGGCTCTGTTGTACCAACTCCCTGCTATGTATATCAAGCGCTGTGTATTGGCAAGAATCCGAAGAAACTAAATATAATAAAACATTGGTTAAAATAGATGAATCAATTTATAGATGATTCTACCCAGCAGTATAAATAATAGCTGAACTCACATTTACCAGTTGTGTGAAGTGATAAACAAATCAATGCTTCAATAATTATAAGACAATACAATTATATATTCTGAAATTGACCATTCTGCATTATGAGTTTTTATAACTTATGATATTTTGATGCTAATACTTTTGTACTTCTACTCAAGTAAATGTAATGAATTTTAGGTACTTAAATGTAAGTAAAATTGTGCTTCTTTCACCACGGTAAGCTACAGCCGATGGCTAGCTTAGCTTAGAGTAGCAATGACTCAAACCAGAGGGAGAAAGCTAGTCTGGTTCTGTTTAAGAATATTGTCCTGTTTATATTAATTAAACAAATATGTTGATAAGTTAGCCATAGACAGATTTTGTTCAATTTGGACAAACCCAGTCTAGCTGTTCGTTCCCATCTTTTACCAGTCTTTATGCTAAGCTAAGCTAACTGTCTCCAGGCTCTAGCTTCATGTTTACAGTGCAGACATGAAGGTGCTATCAATGTTTTCATCTTACTCGTAGCTAGAGAGTACGGACATCACACACATCTTGTGTGTGTGTGTGTGTGTGTGTGTGTGTGTGTGTGTGTGTGTGTGTGTGTGTGTGTGTGTGTGTGTGTGTGTGTGTGTGTGTGTGTGTGTGCGTGTGTGTGTGTGCGTGTGTGTCTTTAATTCCGCTTTGATTAAAATCCATTAACTAAATCCCTCCAGCTGTCCTCAGTCAATCTCCTCTCCCTGTTTCCTCTTAATTCACCACTTCCAGTCTGCCTCTCTGTGCCAATAATCAGAAGAACTGACGAATATTCAGAAACCAAAACTGACTCACAAAACAATCCAGGCCGCTCCCTGTCTCCCTGTCTTCCTGTTTATCTGTCAGTCTTTCAGTCTTTTCATACCGGCTGATTTGCTGCTGTAAAATGGATAAAGACAGATGTGAGGAGACAGATAGAAAGAAAAAAAAAGTGAGGACAAGAGAGTGTGTCAGCAGAATAGTAAACAATAACAACTCAAGCTTTTTGACTGTCTTTCCTTTAAAATGCATTAGAGGACACACCACTGTAATTGTCTGATCCATTTCTCTAATGAGGTTTGGTGTCGTTGCCAAAACAGTTGGAGAAAATACTAATTAGATGGGACCATTATAGAGAATTAGTTTTTCTTACATTTAAAATGTGACTCTTCTGCATTCAAGGACAGTTTTTGGGAGTTTTAAATCTTATGAACCAAAAAGCAGAAATGTGTGTTTCTCCAAAAAATAAATGGTGGTTACCTGAGGGATTTAATGATATACTTTCTAATTTTGTTGAAGTGATTGAAAACCAAAATGTCTCTAAGAGTCATTAGTGATCACTCAAAATGTCATAAAACGCAGAAATATTTAAAATCAGGAGTGAGTAGGGGGGGGGCAAGAACTGCAATGGTAATACATTTATTCACTTTTTTGCTATAAGTTAGATGAATGACATCGCTCTCATCTGTGCCCAAAATATATGAAGCTTCAGTTAGCTTAGCTTAGCATAGCAGACTGGAACCGGGGAAACAGCTAGCCTTACTAAGAAGCACTAATATATATTAGGTTTTGGGCCTCAGAAAAACCTTTAACATTTTGGAAGAGATCTAAATCACGGATAGAATTAGCCAAGGGCTGCACTATCTAAATACCCTCGTAGTTATCTTGTTGTGTCTCGTTTTTTAATATAAAAAAAAACGTATGCATATCATTCCATCATATATTATATTTGATTGTTATTTCCATCTTATTTTACAATATAGCGCTCTTATTGTGACTAGCATGTTTTATTGCTGAATTGACCTGTACTCTTGTCCTTTATATATATCATCGAATAGTTGACCCTGTGTTAACCTACATATAACTAATAAAGAAACACGTCTTGTGTCCCCAGCTGATGACATCAAGCCGTGCCCTCGCTGCGGCGCCTACATCATCAAGATGAACGACGGCAGCTGCAACCACATGACCTGCGCCGTCTGCGGCTGTGAGTTCTGCTGGCTCTGCATGAAGGAGATCTCCGACCTGCACTACCTCAGGTACCAAGCTCTCTCAGTGCACTTTTTATTTCCGCTTTTGGTTAGATTTCTTAAGATCTTATATAAATAAAACTGCTTCATGTTTCCATTTCAATCAGGAGAGACATGTTTTAATGTAAGAATTTATATTTATCGCCGAGAACACACATATGAATGTAATGTTTGGCGATTATGTTTATGTTTATTTAGGATCCCCATTAGCTTTTGGGTAAGCAGACGTTTCTCAACCGGAAGCCATGATAGATTTCTATGCATAACTCCAATATGAGTGTGCTTCGAACAGTGGAGAGCTAGTCTGGCAGCCTATTTGTAATTTCTGTATATGTGTTTTTGCTGCGGATGACCATATGACCGGACAGTACTCAATATGTGACAAAACCAGAGACTGGATGACTTGTTTCAAAGTGGTTAGTGTTACATACTTTGTACATTTTCTCGTCACAGCTATGCTCCTTCCCATTTTTGTTACGATACTGTCAATTTGCTTTGTCCACTGTAAACCAGAATCAAGAACAATGCCAAGCAACTTAGTCTCGTTTACCTGTTCCACTGGCTGACCAGCCAGTGTCAGGCTTAATTGAGGATTGCTGCTTAACATATGTCTGGATCCGAACACCATTGCTTTTGTTTTTGCAATGTTGAGTACCACTTTGTTATTGTTGACCCAGTCTGCTATGGCTTTAATCTCTAAGTAGATGGTTTAACTCACTGCATGTTGATGCTGTACTGTACATTGTAGAATCATCAGCATACATTATTACACTGGACTTATTTAATACGTGAATATTGAATATAACAAAGGCCCAAGCGAACTCCCCTGTGGGACCCCACACTGCAACACCTTACTTTCAGAAAAGCTCCCATTGAAAAATTAGATTAGATTATACCCCGTTGTGCGGGAGTATCATCCGGGAGGGGAATACCGAGCCAATAAACCCCCCCCTGGGGTCTAGACACTGGTGCTGGTGAAGGCATGAAGGGATTGATGGAGGTGAACCCTGGTTTCGGAGAAATTGGAGGTGAAGGGGTGGAGGAGGGCTGCGTTGAGTCACCTTCAATGACAGCTATCAGGAGGGGATAGAGCAGATTTGAAATGTTTGACAATGTTCTAGGATGGGCTTGTGGGAATAGAGACAAAAGTGATAGGTTTAACTGGGGAGTGAAAGCCCCCTATCGCTGATTAGAGGGATGAGCGTAGTAAGAGGGAAATATGTGAATGACAGATATAAAGACGGTCTTCCTGGCTGAACTTGCGCTGAGCTTCATTTCTTGCTCCATCAGTCCATCTGGCTGTACGTTCTGGGGGAAGAAGCCTTGGAGCAGGAAGAAGAAGATCCTGTGGCAGCTGGGGACCCTGATCGGAGCTCCGGTGGGCATCACGCTCATCGCAGGCATCGCTGTCCCCGCCATGGTCATCGGCATTCCTGTGTACGTCGGCCGCAAGGTGAGAAACCCTCAGAGAGCAGGCAACAGCTACTGGAGGAGGGTAATACACTTGAAGTCAAGAGCACAGGGTTTTCACCTTTGAATGGTAGTGTCTAGGATTATAAGTTATTACGTTTGTTATTTAGATTCAAGAGAGGAGGACAAATAAAATGTTATAAGGCTAAAGTACATGTTGTTATTTCAAATGTATTTTCAGAGAAACCAGTTATTTCACTAAGAAGACCTCTTGCTGTTTCTTGGTTTTTCTCCGTTTGTTCTTATGTCTTAACATCTTTACTGTTGATTATTTCCCTTTTCCTATGGTGTTTGGTATTTTCTGATGAATTCAAATGAATGCAGATCATATCGAACTTGTTTAAAGTACACGGCCAAAGGCAAAGTAGCCCGAAAGACAGGTTTTACACATAGCTAACTTTATTGATTTTAAGTTTTCGTGCCTTTATTTGTAGGATATTCTGCATTATTTCATTTTTATAAGTGTTGTTTTGACAACAGACTTTTGCATTTCAAGACTCCCTTCCAAAAAATCCCAAATAGAAATTGAAAAGGAAATAGAAATTGGAGACGACACAGGATCTAATTATGAAGGGGAAATATAATGATATGCTCATAGTGTAAGTCTTGCACTTTGGCTATAACAAGCATTTTCTCTATTTGCAGCTAACTAAGACGTCTTTCACAATAAGCAACACTCTTTCATTTTGATGGTCTGTTCACTTATCATTTATCTTCATCTGCAGAAACCAGAAGTGGAAACCGCAGTTTCAGCACACTGTTAAATGTTTTTTAGAAATAAGAAAAAGCCCTTTCACTTTGACAACCACAAAACAGTTTCCATTCACATCGCACTGACCTTAAGCCGACTTTAGCACTTCAAAATGAGAAAAGCTGAAATTAGATTCATTAAATCATCTCAAGTTATCAAATTAAAAGACAGAGTTTCTACATGATTACCTTAACAAATGTTTCCAACTTCCTTTTAAGCTTAATGTCGAGGTTACAGGCAGATTATTCGGATTGAAGGTCATTTATTTGAGGCAAAGCTGGATTTGAAAGCAACTAAAATAAATTAAACTACATAAGTGAATTCCCAGTTTTAATCTGTTTCGTTTGTCTTCTTACTCCAAGTTCAGAATTTCACATATTTTATTGGAGACATCTTGTCTTTCTGTGTCTTTGTTAGTTTGATAATTGTAGCTTTTAAATTGGTGTAAAATGTATTAAATGTATAAACATACAGTAGCAATCCTAAATGGTCTTTAAATGTTCTAAACAAGATTTTCTATTTGCTATCCACAACAATTATAGTGTAGCAGTACTAACGTTTAGTATCTCAGGCTCTAACTACGCTCATTTGTAATGTATTTAAAAAGCAAATAAGTAAGCAAAATAAGAATCTTAGACATAAAAGTGCATACTAAAATAAGATAAATATGTACTGAAATTCCTCCCTTTTCACTATAAGTATTTGTCTTGTTTTTTTTGCAATTGGTTATGACCATATGACGTTGGTTTATTAGAGACAAAAAGGGCTTGGTCTCTCAGCTAACCAGAGGAAGGAAATGAGATGAGTCATTGGCTGCACATCAAGGCCTGTATCGCTCTCTAGTGGAGAACATTGAAACTGCACATCTCTCTTCAAGCCTTTCGAAGTATCTGCCACAGAGTTGGAAGTGGTTAGCTCATTAAAATACCTGGAGCCTCAGACCGCAGCTCCACTAACTGTGTTTACTACATGTTGAAACCTGCGAGGAGTGAGCTGTGGTCGTCTCAGCCAGAGAATTACTGACTGAACATATTTTTGGAAATGTTTCCTGGTGAGATCTGCTAATTTATAGCATTACACTTTGTTTATGACTAGAACTAGAAGCTTTGAAAAGGTAGTTGTGTAAAATACAGATGAAAGAGGATTTATAATCTATCCCTCCTGGAAAAGCTTTCTGTATTTTTTCTTTGGTATCTTATTTCTTACACCAAAACAATGCCCACCTTTAACCTCGTCCCCACCCGTGTTGAGCTTGTGATGTGACCTCTTTGCAGTGTGTGACACGTGTGTGTTAACCTCAGTGTCTGTCCCTCTCCTCTGCTGCAGATCCACGCCCACTATGAGCTGAAGAAGACATCCCTCCACAGGAGGAACCTGGCCATCACCGGGGGTGTGGCCCTGTCCATCATCACCGCCCCTGTCATCGCAGCTGTCAGCGTCGGTAAGACACTCCACGAGAACACCCTCAGTTAGTATGCATCGGGCTGATGGCCTAAACAAACCAAGCACATCTGTGACCAGAAACACAAAGGGGAAGAACTCCAAAATACAGTCAATTAGAATATATGCTGTTATACAATAAATGGCTCCATCCAGATAAAATAAGATACAAGGATGCAGACTTGACTTGCTTAATATTTTTCTGTAACAAGTAATAATGCAGAGATTTTGGTCTTGGACTTTGGAATTTTGCATCACTCTGGTTCCCTCAAAAGATAGACAAGGGGAATTTTCCAGTTGGATTTTGGAATGATTGTCGTAAATAATCTCTGCGGTGAACAAACGTTTATAATACTTACAAGATATTCTTCACAAAAAAAAAAACCGTCTTTGATTGTTAAAGCCTAAATGCAATCACCAGAAGAGAAAAATCTAACATTATCCATCAGTTGATGAAAAGGAGGAATGATGCTGAAAACCTTGCAATTAGGTTAAATGTTGAGCTCAAGTTTGTGAAGTTAATAAAATACTGAAGGAATCATGCATGTACACCATCTCAGACAAGTTCTAAATCCTTGTGAAACTCCCTCCTCAGGTATTGGTGTTCCCATCATGCTGGCCTACGTGTACGGCGTGGTGCCCATCTCTCTGTGCAGAGGAGGGGGCTGCGGGGTCAGCAGGGGGAAGGGGCGAGGAGTACGCATTGACTTTGATGATGACGATGGTCCAATCACAGGTGAGGATACCCAACATTTCCCGCAGATTAAATGAGCAGGTTCTTTTTCACATGATCTTTCATTATAACGAGTATTTTCTGCGTGGTTCTGCAGTGGCGGATGCGTGGCGAGCCCTGAAGTCCCCGAGCTTCGGTGACAGCAGTCTGGACGGGGCGCTCAGCGGTATGAGCACCACCTCCCCCAGCGAGGGGCTCTCCGTGGCCCCCGGGAGTCTGGGGGACACGCCACACTTCTACCCCCTGGCAGGCGGCACCCTGGGAACCCGCAGCGGAAAGTACAGCAGGTGAGGAACAGAGGGGGGCCATGCCTGGTTTAGGTTTAGTCAAAACAGGGAACATTTAAACCAACATGAAGTCAGACACACGGGAATAACACACACATGCACAAAACTGACATTAATTAAATAATTCATTAATTCAAAAAACAAAGTTATTATGATAAAACATTTATAATAATGATATTAAATAATATAATATGTAAATACAATATAAGATGTATATATATATATATTTTTTTTTCCTTGTATTACTTCAAATACAAAACGTTTTGCCTACATACTGTATGTAAGAAAATACATCTAAGATATATATTTTAATACAGCAGAAAATCTTTCATATAAAAATGTATTATTATTAGTTAAGATATGTTAAAACATTTTCATTTTGCCTGCTATTTCACACACTATTCCATTACATTTAAATAAATCAACAGAGATGACATTACACAACCATACATATAATCGTAGCCTACACTAACAATGCCTTAAAACAACAATATTCCACACTTAAAAGAAACAAACTCCCAAATATGTCAGCCATCCACTATTTGTCACTGCTGTGTGCAGTGCAAATATCAGATACTAGTTGAATAGATTGAGTATTAATTACAATAACAGTGTGAATGACTGTGTGTCGTGCTGCAGGCTGGAGGGGCAGGCGGGGGACTCGGCCCAGAGGGAGACGGGCAGCCTGGGGGCGGGGAGCGACTGCGCCAGCACCCGAGGGATGGCCGGCTCCATCATCTCCTCCTACACCCTGCCTGACAGGTGACCCCGCTGTCTCCTCAGCACCATATAGGATGCCATATTGTTGAACAAGCAGCTGCCAATACAATACATATTAGTTCCTCCTCTTGTCGATAAAACAGTTTTTTGAATTGTAGACGATTTCAAAGTATTTCAAATGGTTGGCTGTCAAGCTGGAGAAAAGGCCATCAAAGTTCAGATATGTCACAACTCCTTTTCAGTAGACCATGTTTTAAAAAAATGTTTACACATCTATATACTAAAATAAAAAAGATATATAAAATAAACAGCTACAGTGATGCATATGTCCAAAGATAATGACAATGGCTGTAGGTCTGCACATGGTATACAATATTTTCTTTTCCATCTTTCAATTTTCATGGGTACTTCTTTTCAAGGTCAAACTACGGTTGACTAGCATTATTCATCCTTTACATACATTCCCAAAAGAATGCATTGGATTCAAATGGCTTCCAGTTGACTTCCTCACCTGTGCGTCCATAGATGTCTCTGTTTGCACTCTGGGGCTGACTTTAAACCCCTCTCTCTGCAGGGAGTGCACCAACCTGGAGATCCAGGTGGACATCGAGACCAAACCCAGCCATCTCTGCCTGACCAGTGAGGAGGACCTGACCCCGCCCCCGGGCTCTGCTGCCATGGCGACCGCCTCCAGCGTGGAGGAGCCTCAGGACTGCAGCTCCAGGAGGGGCGGGGCTTTGTCTGGCTCCGTGCTGGGCCTGTCCCCGGGGGTGTCCCTCAGGGAGGGGCTCAGAGACGTGACGCTGGCCCAGCCTGAGAGCATCCGCAGCGACCTGGAGATGTCGGACACTCAGTCAGACGACATCGCAGAGCTGACGTCGGACGACTGTGACTCCCCCCACCCTAAAAGCTGTCACCTGGCGGCCGGTCAGCAGCCGCCCTCCTGCAGGGTGCTGACCCCCCCCGAAGGTCTTCACTGTCCCGCGGACAGCACCGTCATCCTCTACGTCTGAGAGGACAGCTCCCGAGATTGTAGAAAAGAAAAAGGAACCAATCCCAGACATCTCTTATCCACTTTCCTTCAAGACTTTTTCTTTCTTTTGCACTGAAGAAACTGAAACGTTGACTTTATTTAAATGTATTATGTCAACAGATTTCACATAACTGCATTAGGTTACTTGAAAGCAATAATATGAAGTTGAACCTAATATTTTATTTAAACTTAATATTATTGCTTTCAACTAACCTAATACAGTTATGTGAAATCTGTTGACATAATACATTTAATTAAAGTCAATCTTTCAATTTTTCCAGTGTGTCATTTCTGTTTTTATTTCTGCGCCTCACAGACGACGTCTTAAACACAGACAGGGTTTGTTTACTGTTGTCTGTCTTATCTATCTACCTGTCAATTGTCAGGGTTCTACCTCTGAGATTTATAAGATGATTTATGTTTACTCCTGAGTGCAAAATGCCTTGGCTACTTAAGCAAAAGAAAAAAGAATAATAAGGTACACATTTCCAGAAATATCGCAAATTATACAATTATAAAAAGTTGAAGTGTCACCGAGCACAGCAGAGGGAAACAGATGCTTAATGAGGATGAAGAGGATGTTTCTCACAGTGTGTGAATTAATGTGGACTTTGTACTTTTGTGGCTTTATTTTCTTCTTTTCTTTCTCTATTTATATTCAGATGACGTTGAAATTGTATCATTTGCTGCGTGCATGAGTCTGCATGAGCCGAGCCTTGTGTGACAGGTTTGAAAGTGTGGTGAGTTTCTGTTACACTGGTGAAAGTTAAGAGTTTACTTCAGAGGATTAAGCTGCACTAGAATCTCACTTTGCCTGCACAGAGGAAGAGGAATATGAGTTTGAATGACGGAAATAAATGATTGAGTTCTGACAATAATGAGGCGAGGCAGTGAAGCCATTTTATCTTTTCAAATCTATTAAAGTGTTGGACCTTTCTGAGCTCTAAACATTTTGAACAGTTGAGGACAGACCACTACATTAAACAGGACTGTTCTCAGGGCCGGTACTGAAGTGGGCCGGTCGGACGATGTGGGCCGTCGACAATTTCCTCGCGGTATTTACTTGCGGCACCGAGGTGGGCCGCTCGGATAACTCACTAGCACCCCCCACCCCCCCCCCCCCCCGTTGATCATTTACCGAGGTGGGCCGGCGGTACCGAAGTGGGCCGGTCGAGAGTCCTGGGCTGATTTGTAGTCCCAGTCCGCCCCTGACTGTTCTTCTGTTTTATACTGAAATGTATACCAAACAGAAATGTATAATTGCATAAACATCCCTCTAATGACCAACTATATATAATCTTAATTTAAAAAATGCAAAATCCAACTTGTTTTCTACGATTCTTAGCTAAATACATAACTTAATTTTCTTGATGAAAACTGCATGAATGTAAAAAGGGATAGATTATCCTTATCCAAGTTTGTTATCAAAACACAAATACATTATTAGAGTCAGATTTTATTTCGGATTTAATCAAATTAACTTTTTAGATGTCTATGAGATGTTAGCCGTTCCAACAAAAACACATTTCACCTGTTTACTATTTTAATGGTTTCATGTTCACAACTCATTTTGGCCCACAAAGATTGAAAAAGGCCAATATTCGTCTAAAGAATCACCTGTTGTCAGCCGATTAAATGGCCATACTTAACTTTCCTGATAAGATGAGATACACCTTAATTGATTACCAAATAGTTTTTTTTAAATCACAGTTTAATAACGTATTTAAATGTGTTTCACATTGTGCGGGTCGTTGCAAAATATTAACAAATACCTATTATCATTTTCCAGAGCTATTCAAATTGTTAGAATTCTTTGACCAACAGTCCAAAATCCCACAAATAATCGGTTTAATTTGATATTAGATGAAGAAAAACAGCAAATCCTCACATTATAGAAGCTCGAAACAGAGAACAGAGATATTGAAACGGCCAATTCATTATTGAAAATAAATGTTGATAACTTTTTGTGACTACACTCATCATTTCCCTGTAGTTTGTGATCATTCAATTCTCTTAATAGATTTTTGAATGTATGAATTTAGTCTGGCTTCCTATCCGGCTTACATAACAGCGGGTCATTGATAGAACTCTGTGTGTGTGTGTGTGTGTGTGTGTGTGTGTGTGTGTGTGTGTGTGTGTGTGTGTGTGTGTGTGTGTGTGTGTGTGTGTGTGTGTGTGTGTGTGTGTGTGTGTGTGTGTGTGTGTGTGTGTGTGTGTGTGTGTGTGTGTGTGTGTGTGTGTGTGTGTGTGTGTGTGTGTGTGTGTGTGTACTCCTGATGAATGTATTTGGTTTTTGAATGAGCACTTGTGCACTTTATCTGAATTCATCGTATTTATCGTCTTTATTTGCATCATATTTGACTACGAGTCAGTTGCACACAACAGTCTGTGGTACAACCAAAATAAACCAATCACCTACCAGAAGGCCTTTTATGTTGGATGTAACTAAAGAAGAGTTTGGCTCCAAAACATCAAATAACCACACGCATAAATCATTTCTCAAGTTTATCTTTCAGTATATTAGAAACATGTTTTTTCTATCAGTGATCACAGGACTATAACTATCCTATTTTTTTATATTTTTCATCTTTTAAAGTGTTATTGTTGGAGCCAAACACTTCTAATATGGATCATACTCACTAGCTTGAATTGTTTTTAGCTTTGTAATGCCTCTGTGCTTCAGTTTTTAAAAGGTTTTCTGAGGTTTCTTGAATCTGCAAAGGATCTTGGGAAACCTTTCTCATGTCAGAGTAGCTTTATGGATTTAGCTGCTTGTGTAACTTGGCAGTGCTTTGTTTGGTCTGCACTTCTCACTTGTTACTTCCCGCCCGTGAGAAAAACACACGAATGTACCACAGACGGAAACCCGGACTTCCTGAAAGAGTTTGAATGAGCGTTAATGGAAGTATGTCCCACTAGGAACACAGGTGGTCTTGTTCTTACTTTAAAAGAACGTTTTAGAGTATATAGATAGCAATATTTAAGTGTTATTATATTGTTTCTGTATTTCCTGTCACTGTTAAAGCCCTGCTCTGCGGGGGGTTGTACATGCAGGACTGTGAAAGACAACTTGTGGACGTTCTGGGGGGAAATAAATAAACACAATCTGATGTTGCACCAAACTATCTGTTTGTTTTTGTTTTGTTTAATGACTGCATAGTAATGGGAATCCTTTATGATATGTATGAGCCTTTAAGTAACTGGAGAAGTCATGAGAATATGGTAATGTGCTAGTTATCAGTGCGGAAATTAGTCTACAGAAACTTAGACATGTCGTTTTGAGTTGCTTAAGGTTGCCTTTCAACACAGTTAATGTCAAATGATAATTGCATTATGTTGAGGAACAATATAATTTCATTATTATATGTTTAAATAAGATATACATGTATTCCCGTTTGTTTACAACTGACACAGGCCTGGTAACAAAAAGGGTAACCAAACAATGTTTGTATAATCAAAGGCATAAAATCGTCAAATATCCAAAGGTAAATGTGGATAGATTAACACCAAATCTTTCAAATGAAGAGAGTGTACAAAATATGTATATTTGAAAACAGCTGAAAAAGAAACTTTTCTAAAACGTATCACATCCCAAAGGAAAATATAGTAAGTTGTTCTAAAATCTTTGATTTCTTTATGCAATCTTTGACATATTGTTCAATATAGATGTTTGAATGTCTGATTTAGGTGTTGAATGCCCCACGAAGTATTGCCTTGGTTAAGATTTGCATGCAGTCTATATATTAGGATTATGTTATACAACATATCTATTTGTGTTATTATTATATATTATTTTATATTTTATTTTAATATATTATATTATTTTATATTTTAAGACAATATATAACTACATCACACTGGGATTTTAGTTTGAATTTCCCTACATGTGCAATTTTAGAATACATAGCTTATCCTTAAAGACCTTTTTTTGTGTTATTTACAAAATATTGAAAGTAAAAATTTTAAATCAAGCGAGATAGTTATGCACTGGGGAAGATCAACATTGATATCTACAGTAGTTTCCCTTTTCATGCCACTGGCTCTCCTCTCCTCCTTTCCGGTAAGCGACTGAGGTGAAAAAGAGCGTCTCTTCACGTCACTACCTCTCATTTTACGGCCGTGTTTTGGTCTGCCGTAAAGCGAAACGCGTGGACTCGGCGGAAGGTTAAAGCGAACCTCTCTGGTTGAAGTGATTCCTATCAAACACGGTAAATATAGATACATTGTTGTATAATGTAGGTTTCATATCAGCACCTTACTTGCATAGACACGATGTAATGTGCATTTGCATTTTAAAAACATCAGTATTAAGATAGAGCGGCCTGTTGACATGAACAAGCAGTCGTTGAAGGAGACTGGTTAGCATAACATGCTAACACCTGACAGGGGACAGCTTTATTGAAAGAGTTTAAATGATTGTGTCATGACTCCATTTTAATATATAATAAGCTTAGGGTGTTTTTTTCAGCAGAGGGTAAGCCAGCTAGCTATTCGAACATGAGTTAGCTAGGTGCTAGCTATATAACGTTAATCGACAGGTTAGCCATTATATAAAGGATAAAATAGTTTATTGTTGAGTTTTATTGTACCAAGGTAATTTCACTGTTTGGACAAGGAAAACAGAAATGGGAGTTGAATGTTAAAAGCAATAGTAATTTTGCATATTTACTCCTTGAATGTTTGTTTGTAGCCTTTATTTAACCAGGTTAAAAAATCCCATTTGAGATCAACGATCTCTTTTTCAAGGGAGACCTGCGGATGTGTATGGCGAATGTGTATGTCAATTCCATGAAAGTCTGTAAAGCAGTGATGTGGCAGTAAGACAGCACTGTTATCATATTGGTGGCACAGCAGCGCAGTGTTTTCCTACTAAAAGCTTTAACTATTATATACTACATAACCCTATAAAAAAACTCTTAATATATAACCCTTTTACTTACAAAAAAGCAGATGTTATGAAAAGGGACCTTTTTTAGGCAAGTTTTATTTTGAGCAGAAACTCGTGACATTATTTACGTATTTGTAATGTCACTTATTAGATGCTTGTACCCAAAGAGACTTACATACAATCAGCCCAGTTGGCAAATAGCCTTTTGTTTTGAAACCAAGCAAAACATTTAAAAATGTACAAAGACTGTATTTATGCTGTAACTTTTCTTTAAACTTCGTTATAATATAATCACTACTACTGTAAGGTGCTCACTTTTCATGTGCAATAATAATGTTTGCTGTCAACTTGTTTTTGTTATAACTACACTTATACAGCTTTAGTGGCAGTTTTTCAAGGCTGATGTTTTTATTCTGCCTTCTTCTTGTCTTTGTGATTTCTCCGTCTTCTTCCTGCTACTTCCTGTTTGTTTTTGTTGCTCATTATTCTCTCCTCTCTGTCTTCTCCCTCATTAGCATCATGCCGTTTATAGACCTGCAGACTCGGCTCGGCATCGACGCTGATAAATGGGTGCTGAATCAGAGCAGCCGTCAGCCCAGGCATAAGGCGGCGCGCTGCCACGCTTTTGAGAAGGATTGGATCGAGTGCTCCCACAGCATTGGGCAGACCCGCTCCTTGAAGGAGTGCCAGCTGGAGTTAGAGGATTTCAACGAGTGCTTGCACAAGAAGAAGTTAGTAAGTGTCTCAATGCTCCTGTGTGAGTTATTTTAGTATTATTTCAGAGCGGTGACTGCTGGAAAAGGGATGCACAGTATGGTCTTTTTTAACCAATACCTTTTATTGGTCTACCTCTTATAGCCGATGAGATAACCAATCATTTCCCATTTTTATATTTTGAAAAGTAGTCCATAACCTGTAGTTTATGCACACAAGACGGTATGAAAGGCAAAGATGTTTGGAGAAAGATGGAGGATTTTATATTCTATAGCTCTGACCTATTTCAATCTGACTCACGTCCCTTATGTAAAGACAAAAAAACAATTCTTAA